TCACGTTTGCAACGTTTACGTGCGGGTGGGTGTCGACTCCAAAACCAGTCTGCAGGGTGTCACCGTGATCGTGGAAGACACTATATCACTAACCAAGATCTTCCTACCCGACAACATACACTTCATGGGGGTGAAGTGCACCCCTGAACTATTATCAGAAAACCAGTTGGAAATTATATCGTAATAGTATTATAGCAATGTCTTGGCTTCGCCCCAACACTACACTTAACGACCTAGGGGACACGGAGGGATTCGATCAACCTGGTGAGGAAGACACCTTATACATCCTGCACTTGAAAGACAACGTGTATAGGCGGGTGTCGTTATCAGATTTTAAAGAACCTGAATGGTTAGTCAACTTAACCCTCACCTCACCTTATATCTCCTTGAAAGAAAATACTGACGAGATCTCCGAGATTAAGAATAGCGGTACCGTACCCTCGTGTTTCGTTCCTGGGCCTAATTCAAGTATTAGTCTAAAAACGTCCACCTCCAATATGTTAATGGCATTCCGCGGGGGTGAGTTAAGGTATAACTGCTCTAGGAGCATATAAGGGTTCCGATTATAATGCCAAGCTCCACACTCATCATAGAATTCTATCTCCTGGGACATTCTATTGTAAACAACAACAACTCTTACCTGGGGTGACAGTATACTTTAGTCCCCAGGACCAGTGATGAACGTTACCGTATCATCATACAAACGGACTCCTCAACAGGTTCTATAACCTCCTCAATGAGCCCCCCTACCTCTTGGGATCATTTGGATGTAGTTACACTTATTAAATTCTCACCTATTCTCCTACCTGAGGGTTTACACCTTTATAAGTCTCAAGTACGTTGATCGACTGTTAACTGAAACCCAATTAAAATATCTTTTGTAATATATATTATAGGATGGGGCTGTACCCAGTCGTAGAGGAAGTAGCGAAGACCCTGGAAACCGTAGACGGATTCCGCTTTGAGGCAGTTATGTGATGTAAAACGTCAACTAGAACAAGACCGCGACACGCGGAAAGCACTATATAAGAAGTACCATAGAGCTTTCAATGCCGTGGACGGGACTGATACTGCCCTTATTACAACCAGCATAGGACTAGGGGTGGCAGGTGCTGGGTTGTTAGCTACCATCGTGGCTGCACCTATAGTGCTAGGTATTGAAATAACAGCTGGGGTGACAGGGATGTTAGGGTTGGTGCTTAAAGTTGCATCACGCAGACTGCATCGTAAGGCGTTGAAACACGACGAGATCAGGGTTCTGGCCGAAGCAAAGCTGAACACAGTAAGTGAGCGTATTTCCACGGCACTCACTGACAGTAAGATCTCAGAGGAGGAGTTTCGTTCAATCCTCTCTGAACTCACAAAATATGACAAAATGAAACAAGAGATTCGATCCAAGTCACGTAAGTCTGCTATCAGCGAGGACGAGAAAAAAAAGTACATAGAACAGGGGATACAAAAAGCCCGGCAAGCCTTTATTACGAACACCAAAGAGATCATAGGCGATTCACATTAAACTGTTTCATCGAGGTCAACGTGACATAGTGTCATAGCGGCACGTGGAGCTATACAACATAGATAAAGTGAACATGAAATCAGACGAACCTACCTTGTATTACTTGAGGTATGGGCCAGGCAGAGGACTATTGATCGTAGTGTTACCTCCTGTCAACAGCACGTGATGCGTGGGTGCGCGTGATCTACCCGTTAAATTGACCTACTTCAGCTAAGTCCGCTGTCACGTGATGTGTGGGTGCGCGTGATCTACCCGTTAAACTGACCTACTTCAGCTAAGTCCGCGGTAGCTCAGTCGGTTGAGTGGTGCGACCCCATTATGTATAGTCTGCGCAAGCTGTACATGTGGGTTCGTATCCCGCCGTCACAACTTTGTGTGATGTGATACACAATTCCCCTTGGGAGGAAGCGCAATACATTTCTATTTCTCCCTTGGGGAATTGTGGCTGCCGGGACATTTTACTACTTTTCAAAAATAGTAGCCTTATTTGGGTAATGGTAGCAAGAGCTGTTGGGTCCCGACCAAAGCCTTATTTTTTTGCAAGAGAAATAAGGCTTTGCAGAGGCATTTTGTTGGACTTGGTAGAATGATGACAATCATTCTCCAAGGGCAGTTTATAAAGGTTTGGTCCAAAGAGGCGATCATACGCTCGGATACGTTTTTTTAACCAATTTAATAGACGACAGTACTAAAATGATTTTTTCTTGATATGACACGTGTCCTGTCGCCACATCGGTGCTGACTCGAACATTAACGGTTGTTAATCGACTTGTGAGGATGTACTAGTGAAGAAAGGATCGTCCAAGACCTGGGTGCCGTTGTACAAAACGATTATAGTGCTAAGGTGATCCTAACTCCCGTATCTTAAACATAGACTTAAGGTAGTCTTAGCGCTAAGGTTGTTTTGTACAACAGCACCCTGAAAGATAGAGGAAGACCAATGAGAACCAAAGAGAGCATCGGTATGAACCCCTTCGGACATCTTTGGACTATCTTGGGTAATCCGACAACTTGTACTTGGGCAAGGGTGACATTTCACAAGCGAGGATCACATATTTGCCATGTTTTCGCTGAATCTTCTCAATCACATTACTGCCAAAAGGGACAGGAAATTCAATTCACTGGTTTTTATCCAAAAGTGTAAGATCAGGTTTCTTGGCTTGGAGACGCCTAAGGCTGTATTTTGGCCTATTCCACAGAAATTTGTAATTGTCATATTCCATGACGCCTCCGGTTTCGTACTATAGATGGACCTCGGATTCAAAGCCACAAGCATGTAAAGACCGAGCAACGTCATTAAAGATAGTGTGTCTGTGCCAACGCTGGTCATCCACTCACAAGGTATTGAACTTTCTCATTGACCTCCTTCCATAATTTACGTATTTTGACGTAACTGAAACATTCATAGTTACAAGTGGGAAGTGACTGGTCCTGAGCAGCGAACAGAGCGCCTTCTGTTTCACTTTTCAGGCCAGCCAATTTCATCCACGTGAAGGACTCGGCAGTGTTGCTCTTCTCATCAAGACACTGCCCGTAATAGAAAGCAGCGGTCGTTCAAAAAGCCTTCCCTTGGACAAAACTGAGTCTGTGCTGATTTGATATGGCACATTGCTTGGCTGACACTCATTCCTGTACCATCCAGCATTACAGAACCTTTAACAGAAGCAACAATGACGTTGAGATTTCACCCAACATCCTTAACTATTTTTAGAAATTTAATCGATTAAGGGAAGAGCGAGGATTGTGGCCTCTATTTTTCTCGAAGTTTGTCCTTAGTTTTAATTATTATACACTTAATTGTGTTACTATTACCAATTTAATTTGCGGAATTTGGTTTTCAAGCATATAAAACAACCTGTAGTGTTTTGTAATTATATAAAGAGGTATGTAGTGCTTGATTAATATTCATGCATATATAAACTGTGTGGAATTTGGGGTTGTACTTAAGATTCTTCCAGCAAATAAAATAATTTACCCTCCCCTATCAATCAAATTATTTAAACTCAGACAGAAATCCAGATATCCAGAAATCCAAATATACTCTGCATCCTATGATAAGCTGCTCCTTTGATTAAATGTGCTTGGTTATGTACGGAATGCGGACAATGGTTCAGTACTCAATGGTACAGTACTCTAAGACCAAAATTATCCTGTGAACAGGAGAAGGCTTTTGGCAAATAGTTAAAAACCAAAGACATATTCTCTATTTGAACTTTCATTTTGCTATATTTTACTTACCCTACATAGCTTACATTATTGAACATTATTGTAAAGTTTGGTGAGGACGAGTTTGGTGATTGGTAGACGCCATAAGCAGCCAGTGGAGCTAGGACCGTGTAGAATCTGTAAGTTGTCCTATACTAAAGATTAATGTTGTTCATGGTTACTTGTAATCACTGTTGTGATCTGAGGAACACACATAATACTGAGAAATATTAAAACATGTATCTGGACATACATATTGTTTCCTGTCATCATATATAAATGAGATTTTATAGGAAATAATGGCATGTTTATTCATCATGTACATGAGGAGTATGGCCTTTTTGGCCTTCGAACATGAATGAGAATATAGAACATAGCATATATGTGACATGTTGTGTATATATAGAATCTGTGTCTTCCCCACTTCCGGGTTATTGTAATGCAGCGGGAAATGGAAAGTATCATTCACACGGTCAGTGTGTATGTTTCTCCGTTACAGTCCTGCTCGTCACACAGTGTAGAAGGTAAAGTACTGTTTCTATATTTCATATTGAAAGAAACGTATACAATCGTTTTGTTTAACGGACATCAGACAATAAACACAGAACGAAAATGCAACCAGACTAGTCAATAAAACTATCCACTTAAGAATAGTATTTAAGTCATTCATTTTAAGGAGCACCATGCTTCATGCGTGCTGTTTGAGTGATTTGTTTCATTGATTGTATTGTTTGACTTACTAATGTGTTGAGAAAACGTCACCAACGTGATATAAAAGGAATTCGATGCCACGCCCACTTACAAATGGACCCTTAATGCGTCTTTAATAGTTGTGTTTAAAGAAAGACGTAAACTATGTTATTGTAGAAGCTCATTTTGCCCACATGTCACAGGCTTCTGTAGGTTAGCGTTTCATCGACTACAGGCTGAGGGATTTGTACCTTCAAACATGCGTCACCACAGCTTTCTCGTTCTGACGGTGTGTGGGGTGGCTCTCACTCTATGGACTGGTGAGTGTATGAAGCGGATAGTCGACGTTTATGTTCTATAACTGACGCATGCGCGCCTTTACACATGCCTTTCAGGTATTAATGTTGTCAGTGATTAAATGTATGACATGTTCATGAAATATAACATTGATGTTCAAAATAAATTTTAATCAGTGGATATAGTGCAGACCCTTTCACGAATCATGAACTATCAGTAATATATCAGGTCCAAACGTGAGATTTACTTGTCTGCGATGATTGGCTTCTTGTGTAATTTGTAACATAAAAGTTCAACTTTATATTAGGCTTGATAACATTGAATATCACTGATTTAGCATCTCCCCAATTCACTTATGCCCAGTGTGTCATGCAGTGTCGAGAAATGCACGTCTGTACTTCTATAGTTGCAGGCTCCCCAGAGTGTCAGGATATCAGTCCAGATTATTGTAGAAGTATCTCCTGCGAGCAACCAGGAAGTGAGAAACTGTGCCAGAAAACATGCGGTCTGTGTGCAGAAGGTGAGGGAGAAATGTACACAAGAACTGCTGCTTTAGACAACAGTGTTTCATGGTGACCTGGTTATAGTGTTATGGTTGAATTATATAAACAGTCTTTTAATATGCATCTGATGTTGTTTTGTCTGGTGAAATGAAAACAAGTCATAATCAAAACGAACTTTTATTGTTGTAACTTTTGGTTTTCCCAGTGAGTCACCAAGGCCGGTGATGAAGGGTGTACGATGTTTCCGTAGTCTTTGTTGTATTTCCTTCATTAGTTAGACAACATGCTCTTACGTAGTTTTCGCTGGAACTGTAAAACTCATTTTCAAGTCATAGAGATTTGCAAAAACTCCACAAACACTGTAGGGGAGGAGAGTTTATATGTTCTCATATTGATGGAATGATCTGTGCTACATTCTCAGTATTCCACCGCTTCTTTCAACGTCTTGTTAAATCTGTGTCGGGTTTTTAATAATGGTTATTAAACATGATTAACTATGAAACCTGTTTTCCACAGACTGCGGATCGGGATACTTCAAGGATGGTTCCTCGTGCAGGAAATGCGAGGATGGCGTCGATGTACAGTCAGTCGACTATAGAAGGAAATGTGATGTTCCCTGTAACCATAGCAACACGTGGGGCGCAGACTGTCGAACTCCATGTAGTAAAGGATGTAGGAATCAAACATGTCACCGGTGGAGAGGACACTGTCTCCAAAACTGCAACCCAGGCTACTATGGGTCTACATGTGAATTACATTGTGACGGGTGCAGGTCGTGTGGAGACCGAGGTGATACTTGTGACAATGAGGGGAGGTGTTTGTGTGGCTGCATGAGAGGAAAACGAGGTGACAAATGTGACCAAGACTGTCTACACTGTGAAATGTGTTCAGGAAATAACTGTACATGTCAAGAAGGATTCCGGGGTGCGTTGTGCAGTGAGACCTGCGTGAACTGTAAGAGCTGTAATGTAGCCAACTGTACATGTCAAGAAGGATTCCGGGGTGCGTTGTGCAGTGAGACCTGCATGAACTGTAAGAGCTGTAATGTAGCCAACTGTATATGCAAGACCGGTTTCCATGGAGATGTCTGTACAGTACCCTGCCCCCAGCACTGCTCCCAAAACGTATGTCGTCAGGCAGGAGTGTGTACACGGGGCTGTGACAGGGGGTGGTATGGACCATCGTGTGATATACAATGTGATAACTGTGTGGGAGACCTCTGCTCGTTAAACGGGACATGTACTTCCGGGTGCAAAAGCGGGCGGTATGGTGCCAAGTGTGATGAAGCCTGTGATGCCAGCTGCAAGGACCAACTGTGTTACGGTAACGGAACCTGTGAAAGATGCAAGCCCCGATATTATGGAGACCGTTGCAAGGCCACATGCAGCACTGGCTGTCGTAACCAGACATGTGACCGGACTGGAACTTGTGGATCCTGCAGAGTTGGAAAGTTTGGGGACACGTGTCAGCGACAGTGCAGTTCCAACTGTGTGAATTACACCTGTGAACAAACATCAGGAACGTGTATCAATGGCTGTGCCACAGGCTGGTACGGAGATACATGTGATGTAAACTGTCCCCACCGATGTGCCTCACGGTCCTGCCACAGAGACACCGGGATCTGTCCATCTTGTGTGCAGAGATTCCAAGGCTCCCACTGCAACGTGTCATGTCCACAGTACTGTACGAAATGTGAACAGTATAGCGACAAATGTCTCACTTGTCAACAAAAGCATTTCGGGTACAAGTGTGAAAAACTTTGTTCACCTCGTTGTCAAGGAGGAATATGCCGCCACGATACTGGTATATGTTCACAGGGATGTATTGGAACATTCTACGGCCATTTCTGCAACAATTCCTGCAGCGACCACTGTGTCAACAGAGCCTGTCATACAGGAAGGACCGACGCAGATGCACCCCAGTGTACTGACGGATGTGAAGATGGATGGTGGGGGGACTACTGTGACAACACGTGTCCTCTTCACTGTGTGAAATGTGACAGACATCGTGGCCAGTGTCTGGCGTGTGAAGCCACGAGATACGGCGTGAACTGTAACTTGAGCTGTAACACTGCCTGCCTGAAGTCACGATGTAACCTGACAGGAGACTGTATATACGGGTGTGAGAGCGGGCGTTACGGTAGCATGTGTTCTGAAAGATGTCCCCAGGTGTGCAACACATGTCAACACGATGGTGCCTGTGTTACGTGTGCTGACGGCTGGATGGGAGAACACTGTACTGGTAACGGTTGTCTTCGCATGTAACAGAAATGTGTTGGTTATAACATTAGGCCACAACTCCTCATGTAATCCCTTGTGCAGAATCCTGGTCTGGGTTTGTTCCCAGGGATGGTTGCACACAGCGACTTGGTTTAGCCTGAATATTTGAACGTGCAAAAAAACGAGCCAAACAATTTCATTTCACAATACTCTCAACTTTTATCTGACTTGAGTCTTTTCTCCAACATCAAGGTGTAGCCTAGTGGGTTTACAAAGCGTTCGCTATTCACGCCGAAAATCCGGGTACAAGGTGTGAAGCCCATTTCTGGTGTCCCCGCCGGATATTGCTGGAATATTGCTAAAATCGGCGTGAAACTAAACTCTCTCACTCACTTACTCCAACATCAAGCTGATATTGTATCACCGAAATATTGTTGAAAGTGACATTAAACCAAACTCAACTATTCTGTTACTTGCTGTAATGGAGATCATATGTCTCTGTTACTTCTGAATATCTAATATGTCTCGTTTTCTTTGACAGAATCCAGCAGACCCCTGGCGCAGTTGCTGTGGGTTGTAATTCCATGTCTGCTGATAGCCACTCTCATCGTAATGGCCGTTGTAGTCATGCGGAGGTTAGATGAATTATAGTTATTCCACGGGACAGAAGGAGGGGCATTTCTGTTTTGTGATTGCTGTTCCCGTGAGGATTCCGGGTTGGACTTGGTTCCTAGTAATCTAAACGTAGGCAGGTAGAACTTTGCGAAATAATGGATCGAGTGGTCGGACTCGGTGGCATGGGTGATTGCGTGTTGGTGCACCCCGACAGCGTTGATCTTGGCTAATAATGTCAATAAACTGGTGTGTCTGGTCCAGATTGGGCAGAATGTGACAGGGCACAGTCATGGTGTTAAATGGATGGATGGACGAATGGATGAATGGAATTATTCCATTTATATCCATAAACGTTTATAAATATAATTGACCTATGTTTTACATTGTTTAGAAATAGTCCCAGACATTCAAGGAAAGAAAGGAGACGAGTTCTCGGAGGACCAAACAGTGCCTCTTTAGTATGCATACTGAACCCAACATATGAAGCCTCTACAAACGGTAATATATATTGTGTGTTTGTATTTCTTCAGTCCAACATATTCAAGATTTTATATGTTAAAAAGTGATCAGTTATTGGAGTGAGGTAATGCCCATTATATTTGATAAGTAATAGTAATGAATAGTTTCTTGTGATTCATTTACAGGTTGTACAACCCCTGTGGACTTAGACGCCCTGGATTTGGGCGAGGAAGAAGTAGCGCCCCCTTGTGTTGACGTCAGGATAAGCGATGGGCAATGGTGTCCACATTCACACTCTCTAGCATCCGGTGACGTCACTGACACTGCCCTTATTGACCAAGTGTGGTCAACGGAAGTGATGGTACACAATCTCAGACAATATGTTGAAAACATGAAGAGGGATGGCGGCCTTACTTCCCAGTTTTATGTGAGTGTAATTCTACAGACGAAAACTGCTGTAATTACATAGGAGGATCCCGAAGGATATATGTATATATTAGGGGCACAGTCTTGAGAAAGGGGGCCGCAAACACACAACAACAACAACAAACCACCCCACCCCCCACCCCCATCCGCCTATGTTTATCATCTGTTTGTTATCGGTCCGCTTTTACTTTGTTGTTCCAGAACCTGCCCCGTGGACAGCTAGGCCCCTGTACCCTAGCCGGATTGCCAGAGAATGTCTCCAAGAACAGATACAGAAACATACTACCGTGTAAGTGCCTTCTGTTTTTAACTCTCATTATGCATGTGCGTGTGCGTGTACGTGTGTGTGTGCGCGCGTGTGTGTCTTGCACACATCAGCTGTTATATAAAGACGCCATGTTCATTAAACTGTAACTGTAAAGGTCTCAACAGTATTGTGTATCTGTTACTGGACATGCAACAGGCTGTATGCATCATAACCATTACTCCCTTTGTTATGCAGATGATCACAGCAGAGTAAAACTTTCATGCGCTCCGACTGTACCTGGTTCTGACTTTATCAACGCCAATTTTATAAATGTAAGTTCTCTGTAAGACAAAAAACACCAATGCATAGCTCATCGTCATGAAAACATTACAATGCAATGTGGCAGCCTTACCAACGGTTTAAATGTTGCCGAATCAATATATATATATATTAACTTCATGTCATTTTTAGAAGATATCGATACCTCCTGATAATGGCATATCATAGTAAATATTGTACCGTCAGATATGTAATAGTAATAGTAATAGTCCGCTTATATGGCGCTCATATCCAGGCACATTGCCTGCTCACGGCGCTACGTACATTACTATCACAGGAGGACACTATCGTACTTTCCGATACTTTTTCAACTCCCTGGGGACCATACAGTCATGCTGCCTGTTAGGCGCAATGAACTAAACAGTTACATTGCCAGCACATCCTCACGTGTACCCATTTTACAGCCGGGTGAACTGAGACAATGTGGATCTAAGTATCTTGTCCAAGGATACTACGCAAATGTGTCCACAGCGGGTGCCTCCATCGGGGATCGAACCCGGGCCTTCAGCGTGATAGGCAGACACCGTACCACTGCACTATTGCGCTCAACAAATGGTATTGTATATGACCGTTGCCAAGTAATGTGTTCCGTTGTTTCAGGGATATGGTGAACCGAAAGCATTTGTTGCCACACAAGGTAATACAGATTTCTCATTCGTTTGAAAAAGTCCGTGGCTTCAGATAATATCTACTCACTCTTGTATGAAGAAATGTACACAAATAGTTGGCAGTGTATGTGTACTCCAGCATTATTAGACACAGGTTCTGAATATCTTTATGAGATAATTATGGTTGTTTGGTTGAAAGTTATTCAACGAGTGTTGTGTAACCAAACTAGGTTATTCAAAGATAGTGACGTCAAACTGACAAACTTTCTGTTGCCACCTCGATATTTCACATTAACATTATAAGTCCATTCAAGCTTTATTTTACCAAAACTGTCAACAAAACAAAACATTAGGTTTGTGGATAATCAAAATTATATTTTGGTGATTAGTATTATTTTTCAACTGAATATTTTTAATTGTATATTTTCATCTATTAAGTAGTCGTGACAGAGTTGTCTCCCTTTCGTTTTGTTTACATCCGGCATCGTCTGCTTGATTTGTCATCATGGATCACACTGTTGTCCCGTCCTGTGTGTAATAAATAGATCACAAAACTCGTGGATGTTGAATATGGTAAATGTTCCAACGAGATAATGTTTAAACGTTTTTATTAATTTAATACGCTAGTGAACAAATCGAAACATTTACAAATATCTTGTTGGAATATTTTCCACATTTCCCCGCGAGTTTTGTAATCTCTATTTCATCAATGTGCCACGGTAGTGTACACGTCTACATTGTACTTAACATCTAACCTGCCTTCATATATCACAGGCCCTTACGCAGCTGTGATGGGCGATTTCTGGAGAATGATATGGGAAACTGATGCAAGCAAAGTGATAATGCTGACCAACTTGGTGGAGAACAGAAAGGTTAGTCAGTGGTATGTTTGTTACTGAAAAAATATCCCCCTGCGCTAATCACATCAACTTCAATGACAAATCATCGAATACAGTGTACTATTGGATAATCCTGATAGTAAATGTGTTTTCCAGGCAAAGTGTGAGAAGTACTGGCCCGACTACGGCCAGCCAGGCACCAGCTATGACGATGTCCATGTCCAGTGTATGGCCGAGGATGAGCTGATGGACTACACAGTCAGGACGTTCAATCTACACAGGGTAAGGATAAACTACACAGTCAGGAGGTTCTCTGTACACAGGGTAAGGATGAACTACACAGTCAGGACGTTCCCTGTACACAGGGTAAGGATAAACTTCACAGTCAGGAGGTTCTCTGTACACAGGGTAAGGATAAACTACACAGTCAGGACGTTCTCTGTATACAGGGTAAGGATAAACTACACAGTCTTTACAAAGGTCTTATACATAGATAAACTACCGTAAAGATCAGGAAATGCTGGAATAATACATAAGGATTTGGTACACGGTGTAAATGACGTTCTTACACAGAGGGATAAACTACACAGTCAGGACACCAGGGTGGGATAAACTACAAGTCAGGACTCAGTTTACGTTCTCTGTTAAGGATAAACTTATCTACACAGGGTTTGATGACACTACACAGTCAAGACGTTCTCTGTACACAGAGTAAGGATAAACTCAGTTTTACAAAGATCTTATACTAGTCTTTACAAAGATCTTATACTATTTACAGTGAGAGATTTGTCTGGAACAATAGTCAGTGTTGTCCAACAAGCATTGTTCACAGGATGGACAGCCACCGAGGACGCTGCAGCACTACCACTTCACAGCATGGCCAGACAAGGGTGTTCCACATGAAGTTAGGTCTCTTGTTGAGTTCTACAGGCTTGTCAGCAACTCCCCATCTACAAGCCATGGGCCAAAGGTCGTACACTGCAGGCACGTAGCACTGACTCACATATTAATGTGTGAGGACGTAATCCAGACTTCTGTCAATACCAGACCATTTACCGTTCCCATTAGTAACCCATACGGTCACATAGAAAACTTCTTTTACTGCGGATTCCGGACTGAAATTGATTTAAGAAGACGACTTTACCATGAAATAGCTCCTGTAACTTAACGCTTCAAACACACCAACAGCATATCCTTTGACGAGGAAGAATTTATTTGATTCATGTGCTTTATAGTTTGATAAGATTCATTTGCTATCCAAACTCAGACCGATGGTTTCTTTAAATATTTTGCATGTGTTTTCCAGTGCTGGGATTGGCCGCACAGGAACCTTTATTGCTCTGGACTATTTGGTTGCACAAGCCAAGGAGGAAGGCGTCGTAGATGCCTATGAGTGTATTGTCAAACTCCGGCACCAGCGTATGGATCTTATCCAGACAAAGGTGGGAGCTGATGGAGATTAAATTTTCTGTGAGAGTGATGGTATCATATGTATTGTTTGTAGATTGTAATTTCCAAATGTTTAATTCGAGACTTTTTCTTTTTTCTGTTCCTGGAATGAAAAATATAATACAAAACATAGCCCATTAATAGAGATAAGAACTCCAAGACGAAACCTGCGATCCGAGGGGTGCAAACCTTTTGGCTCATTTCTCTTTTGAAGATGCCCATTAGTCTGCTAGCGTTTGTGTCAGAATTGTAGCGAGGATTCTATGTTGCTCACCACCCCAGTATGTATCAGTCAGTTGTGTGGTGTGATCCTAGTCATCCTCTAGTAGACATACATTTGACCACTTGCAGCATGTAATGGGCCATAGTATATGGGGGTATTCATTTTAAAGGATTATTATTATCTGTTTGTAGGATCAGTACATATTTCTACACGATGCTTTGATTGAGGCCCTTCCTTCGTCTGACAGACCGACAAGAAGAAACCTGTGAATGCAAGGTCCTCAAAACATTTGTATAAACAATCAAACACAGTTGTGTCGAACATACGGGTGTCTCGATACAAAAACGTGTATCCTGTGTATTCATTCTATATTCAGCTTTTTTCGGTTGTATCGAACCTTGGGTAACTGGAAACTTTTCTTAGGTTCCTACAACTTCGCAACAACGGTATTTTGACAGTGTAGTGATGACGACAAAAATGCCTCGTGGATTTCGTTGATATTACAACTTCCAAAATGACATGTAATTTGTTGCGCACTTGCACTGGGTTAATGCCTTAATCTGCTAAGAATGTTCAACACCATCATTACTTTTACAGAAATTGCTAGTAATGTCTGGTTTGTGAGTGTGAGTGTTCCTGTCTCTAAACTCCTACCAGTTTGTGTATCTGAGTATATATGTCCACGTGTTTGTGAGTGTGAGTGTTCCAGTCTCTAAACTCCTACCAGTTTGTGTATCTGAGTATATATGTCCACGTGTTTGTGAGTGTGAGTGTTCCTGTCTCTAAACTCCTACCAGTTTGTGTATCTGAGTATATATGTCCACGTGTTTGTGAGTGTGAGTGTTCCTGTCTCTAAACTCCTACCAGTTTGTGTATCTGAGTATATATGTCCACGTGTTTGTGAGTGTGAGTGTTCCTGTCTCTAAACTCCTACCAGTTTGTGTATCTGAGTATATATGTCCACGTGTTTGTGAGTGTGAGTGTTCCTGTCTCTAAACTCCTACCAGTTTGTGTATCTGAGTATATATGTCCACGTGTTTGTGAGTGTGAGTGTTCCTGTCTCTAAACTCCTACCAGTTTGTGTATCTGAGTATATATGTCCACGTGTTTGTGAGTGTTCCTGTCTCTAAACTCCTACCAGTTTGTGTATCTGAGTATATATGTCCACGTGTTTGTGAGTGTGAGTGTTCCTGTCTCTAAACTCCTACCAGTTTGTGTATCTGAGTATATATGTCCACGTGTTTGTGAGTGTTCCTGTCTCTAAACTCCTACCAGTTTGTGTATCTGAGTATATATGTCCACGTGTTTGTGAGTGTGAGTGTTCCTGTCTCTAAACTCCTACCAGTTTGTGTATCTGAGTATATATGTCCACGTGTTTGTGAGTGTGAGTGTTCCTGTCTCTAAACTCCTACCAGTTTGTGTATCTGAGTATATATGTCCACGTGTTTTTGTGAGTGTGTCTCTAAACTCCTACCAGTTTGTGTATGTGAGTATATATGTCCACGTGTTTGTGTTCCTGTCTCTAAACTCCTACCAGTTTGTGTATCTGAGTATATATGTCCACGTGTTTGTGAGTGTGAGTGTTCCTGTCTCTAAACTCCTACCAGTTTGTGTATCTGAGTATATATGTCCACGTGTTTGTGAGTGTGAGTGTTCCTGTCTCTAAACTCCTACCAGTTTGTGTATCTGAGTATATATGTCCACGTGTTTGTGAGTGTGAGTGTTCCTGTCTCTAAACTCCTACCAGTTTGTGTATCTGAGTATATATGTCCACGTGTTTGTGAGTGTGAGTGTTCCTGTCTCTAAACTCCTACCAGTTTGTGTATCTGAGTATATATGTCCACGTGTTTGTGAGTGTGAGTGTTCCTGTCTCTAAACTCCTACCAGTTTGTGTATCTGAGTATATATGTCCACGTGTTTGTGAGTGTGAGTGTTCCTGTCTCTAAACTCCTACCAGTTTGTGTATCTGAGTATATATGTCCACGTGTTTGTGAGTGTGAGTGTTCCTGTCTCTAAACTCCTACCAGTTTGTGTATCTGAGTATATATGTCCACGTGTTTGTGTGTGTGAGTGTTCCTGTCTCTAAACTCCTACCAGTTTGTGTATCTGAGTATATATGTCCACGTGTTTGTGAGTGTGAGTGTTCCTGTCTCTAAACTCCTACCAGTTTGTGTATCTGAGTATATATGTCCACGTGTTTGTGAGTGTGAGTGTTCCTGTCTCTAAACTCCTACCAGTTTGTGTATCTGAGTATATATGTCCACGTGTTTGTGAGTGTGAGTGTTCCTGTCTCTAAACTCCTACCAGTTTGTGTATCTGAGTATATATGTCCACGTGTTTGTGAGTGTGAGTGTTCCTGTCTCTAAACTCCTACCAGTTTGTGTATCTGAGTATATATGTCCACGTGTGTTGAGTGTGAGTGTTCCTGTCTCTAAACTCCTACCAGTTTGTGTATCTGAGTATATATGTCCACGTGTTTTTGGGTGTGAGTGTTCCTGTCTCTAAACTCCTACCAGTTTGTGTATCTGAGTATATATGTCCACGTGTTTGTGAGTGTGAGTGTTCCTGTCTCTAAACTCCTACCAGTTTGTGTATCTGAGTATATATGTCCACGTGTTTGTGAGTGTGAGTGTTCCTGTCTCTAAACTCCTACCAGTTTGTGTATCTGAGTATATATGTCCACGTGTTTGTGAGTGTGAGTGTTCCTGTCTCTAAACTCCTACCAGTTTGTGTATCTGAGTATATATGTCCACGTGTTTGTGGGTCTGAGTGTTCCTGTCTCTAAACTCCTACCAGTTTGTGTATCTGAGTACATCGGGGTTTATGTCCACGTGTTTGTGAGTCTGACAGTTAGGGAGTTTAGATAGCTGTAGACTCTAGCGTCAGAACTAGTCGAACTGTAAAAGCCTTGTCATGTACAGAGATATAGACCTCGGGGTTGCTGGAATGATGGAATGTGTCTATAGTGTAAATATTTGCATTGTTTGTTCAACTAGTCAATATTCCAATACTATGTATAATCTACATAAATAACATGTAATAAATTCCCTCATGTGTAATATATTTTGAGTCTTTACTAATAAACGATCGATTTAAACATATTGTCGATAATATGAATACGAATATGAACAACTAGAAAACATGTTTTAATCCATGGCCCTTATAAGGTCACCTTAGAGTGGTGAAGTGACATGTCTGATTCACTCAGGGAACATGGGTAATCCGGAACATGTTATAATCCCTAAACCTATAGGGGTCACGTGACATGTCTGATTCACTCAGGGAATATGGGTAATCCGGAACATGTTATAATCCCTAAACCTATAGGGGTCACGTGACATGTCTAGAACATGGGTCACGTGACATGTCTGATTCACCTCAGGGAATATGGGTAATCCGGAACATGTTATAATCCCTGAACCCTATACGTGACATGTCTGATTCCCACTATAGGGGGTCACGTGACATGGAATATGGGTAATCCGGAACATGTTATAATCCCTAAACCTATAGGGGTCACGTGACATGTCTGATTCACTCAGGGAATATGGGTAATCCGGAACATGTTATAATCCCTAAACCTATAGGGGTCACGTGACATGTCTGATTCACTCAGGGAATATGGGTAATCCGGAACATGTTATAATCCCTGAACCGCATATAGGGGTCACGTGACATGTCTGATTCACTCAGGGAATATGGGTAATCCGGAACATGTTATAATCCCTGAACCGCATAGGGGTCACGTGACATGTCTGATTCACTCAGGAATATGGGTAATCCGGAACATGTTATAATCCCTGAACCATAGGGGTCACGTGACATGTCTGATTCACTCAGGAAATATGGGTAATCCGGAACATGTTATAATCCCTAAACCTATAGGGGTCACGTGACATGTCTGATTCACTCAGGGAATATGGGTAATCCGGAACATGTTATAATCCCTAAACCTATAGGGGTCACGTGACATGTCTGATTCACTCAGGGAATATGGGTAATCCGGAACATGTTATAATCCCTAAACCTATAGGGGTCATGTGACATGTCTGATTCACTCAGGGAACATGGGTAATCCGGAACATGTTATAATACCTGAACCTATAGGGGTCACGTGACATGTCTGATTTACTCAGGAAATATGGGTAATCCGGAACATGTTATAATCCCTGAACCGCTTAGGGGTCACGTGACATGTCTGATTCATTTAGGGAAAATGGGTAATCCGGAACATGTTATAATCAATGTATTAAAAGGATTATATATTTCCTTTAACACAGATAATCATATCTATAACCGCAAAACACATAGCCTGTTAAGACAGGTCATTAGTTCATACACACGGAGGTCGTTTGTCCATGTCTGGTGTGTTGTCAACAATGTGTGGAATGATGTTAACGTCTACTTACCTTCATTCCTTATTCAAAAGACTTATCGAAGTAAGAAACGTTGACAGGGGAATGTATCCGTATTCTTCCATACTCACCGACATGCACGTTTATTTATACTATTTGTTTGTATATCATTACAAGCTACCATAATCTCTTGGTAATCTCTTGGTCTCTATACTTATATAAAGATTCATATAGGACTAGAGCAGGAACCTCTAGATGGGCGTGGGCGGTTGACGTCCCAACAACGTGTACAACGTGTAGGGCCAACTCTGGTTGTTCCCGCCCTTATAGTATTGGGTTTTGTTGTTTCTTTAATATATTGTTATTGGTACCCAAGATTACAATGTCATATATATACAAAACTGTGATACATACAGATAAATGGTGTACAGGTATTATATCAATATGATATTAATAAACATATGTAAATCAATAAAAGTGAAAGATGATATCAGGCATATATGAATGCATTTCGTACTGGGAAGTGACGGCCCCATTTGTGATTGAAATCTTTTATTTTATTATTTTGTTTTTTTTATATATGATTTTCCACAAAAAATATTTCTTTCAGAGTATTATAAATAAAGTTATATTGGGATGCATATTCGTAATGCTGCATATGTAAATATGTCTTTTTACATTAATGATGACACGATTTAGTAATCTATTTTGATGTACCAAACCAAACTGTATGTTTTGGTAATAGCAATGGATGAGGGTATAAATTGTTAAGCCAACTTTGCAGGTTTTTCCAAAAAGTTTGTGTCTCCTGACATTTCCAGTATACATGACAAACGCTCTCATTTACATCATTGTAGAAACAACACAAACTGTTGTCATCTTTTTTCATTTTAAGCAATTCTCTTTTTGTATAAATAATATCTTGTAGAAATCTATATTTTTATTTCATTCAATCCTTTTCTATATATTGTAAATGCATTTTTCCAATCAAAGTCTGTTTCAGGAAATAATACCTGCCATTTATTACAAATGTTGTTGTATATCATTAGAAATACGTTTATTATACACAATCCTGCAGCGTTTTGATGTTTCTACTTAATAGATCTGGCATTGGTTAACATTCAAATCCCTTATTGGTTTTAAATAACATTGAATTATGAGAGGTTTTCCAAGAGTCAGGTAATACATATAATGATTATCTATAATCTAAAAAAGTGCCTTTGATATCATATTTTTGATTGATA